TGTTATCAATTGTACATATAATTAATGATTGCAATAGAGTTATTCAGTGTATTCAGTGTTAATGTTCTCCAAACTGATAAGATATACACAGGAGGGAATAAGAGAAAGAATGAACAATCATAAACTGGAATGATAAATGATCAATGAATAAATTTGCAATGTGGAAGGCAATGGCACCACGTCAGAAAAAAGGCACGCGAATGGTAAAGAAGTGCCAGTTCAAAAGACAGAGTTCGAAGGTCAAAGGTTATTTTATTCTATCGTCAATGAACATCACATGATCGATTTATCACGACTTTCCATCGACCGAGACACACAACATCGCAGCAGACTTTTTCCAGCTTTATAATTTTTTACTCCCCAGCCATCATTTTGAACAACTTCTCGCCGTTGTACGTTGAAGAACTGCAATTTTGTTTATATTGCACTATTATTGCAACATTTCTTATATATATATTCAACATCACTTCTAAATTTTATATCATTTGAAACACTAAACGATGCAACATTGAAACGCGAGTAAAAGTATTTCTAATGTTCGCATACGAGTCTTAATTTTTGAGCTGCATGCTTGTAATTTGTGCGTGTAATTTGCACATTCTTTCTAACGCAAACTTTTGAAAAAATGCAATCAGAATTATTTAAAATGGAACATAGTTCAAAGTTAAGAAACAAATCAATCTCACATGATGTTACGTGCAAAGGCAGAAAATCGTTTATGCAAATTTTTAAAAAATATACAAATGTAGCCAAAATGTAAATCAAACTGTAAAGGCTGATATTCGGGTAAGACATGTTACTGGCATAAAAATAACAGCTATGAGGTTGTGAAATTTTTGGGTTTTTAGCAGATAAGCAGATTTATCTGTTTGATAGACACTTTGCAATTCAAAATAAATTAATTTGATTAAAGATTTAAATGTTATTTAAACGGATAGACAATTATATCTCTAATTATCACTTAGTTTTCGATGAATGATTAAAATAGTATTATTAATTTCATCTCTCCTGGCCGTTCAACTATAAGGTTAAACGTCCGTCTGGACGGTGTGTGTTCTAAATGGCCGGCACTTAAAACTCGTAAATTCGAAATGGGTTCACAAAATTTAAGCCGTTTGTCGAGGATTAAACATATAGAAGGAGCTAGCAGGCATCTGACTTACAACCTTAACGAAAACGTATTTACATACGTACGTACATACTACATATACATACAGACACATGCATACTTTCACACACACTTTCACATATACATACGTACTTACCTACCTACATGCAAACATACACACACATACAGATGTTCACATGCACATAATGCCTTCATAGATGAGTGCTTCCCATGAATGGCCCATTCAAAGTAAGTTGCATTTTATTTCCCTGCAACAACTTGTACACTTGTTGCTGCCATCATGCTTTTTCCATCATATTATATACGTCAGCCTCCTTTCCTCCATCTCAATTTATAACCAGATGCTCACTTGCTGACGCTTTCAATTATTTCTCCGAATGTTTCATTTACATGCGCAGACGATAAAATCAGCCTTCCTTTTTTATTTAAATTCAAGGTTCAAATTCCAGGCTTAATTTATAAGCCAAAAACAAACTTATTTCGGCTACAATAAAAATCAACCGCAGAAAATTTTAATTAAAATTATCTTTGAAGAAGTTGACGTTCAACTGACATTTTCGTTGAAACGGTGTGATGAGGTAAATTTAACTCGCAGCATTGTTGAATGATGCTATCAAAATTTCAAAATCTTAAATGTTAAATTTTTTCCATAGTTTTTGTAAAGACAAACCGAACAACAGGAAAGTTAAATTTATGGTTGGACTGTTTGACATTGGACTAAACGTGTATTTGTTCCATTTCTGTTTGCATGTTGTTGCACGAACTTATCTTGCGTGAGCGTTGTTTTTAGTTGAAGTTGACAGTTTGAGTATCAAAATTGTTATTAAAGACTAATTAAAAACATGTTCGTAAATTTTTTAAATTATAACAAGCTCTTGCTATTTAAGTACATATGCGGCCCTCCAAAGGTAAAATAGTTCTTAATGCGGCCCTCACAACAAAAAGTTTTCCCACCCTTGTTCTAACCAATCATTTATATTTGTTTTAATATTTTTCAATGAGTATTTATATTTTCAAATAATTTACAAAATGGGAGGCCAAACGTGTTAAACTGAAAAAGCCAAAAACTTTTATAAACAAGATTTTTAGACTTTAAATTTTTTAATTTAGACTGAATTTAATTTCAACAAGAAAACTAACTTTTAATGTTATGAAAAATAATTGGATGTTTTCTGGATTTGCAAGCAAATACAAAAGCACAGGACAGAGCGCAAAAAAATTTGTAAAAGAATTTGGTTCAAAAGGAAAATTTCAAAAACATATTTCTTAATTATTAATCAAATATATTTAAAAATCTTTATTTTAGTTTCTTATAAAAAAGATAACTCAAGCATTGCATCATCGAAATTTAAAAATAAAAGTTTGTGTGGGATAAATATCAAAGGGTATGTTCTTTTTTAGAATCTAATGCAAATATTGATACAGCTCCCATCAGCATCAGCGTTTCATTTTTTGCAGCATCCTTTCATTCCTTCGTCTAAACTCAACCACATGTACTCTCATCACACAATCGCAAACACGCACATACATACATGTAAGACCATATGTACACAAGAGAGAAAACGTTTGAGTGGCACCAAAACTTAATTATAATGAGTTTGTCAATTGTCGAAACTTTTTTATTTTTTTTATATTTAATTTAGACCGGCATATCTTTCTTAACTCAAATTTGTTGAATTTTAAACCAAATTAAGTTTTCTAATAAATGTCTGGTATTTTTTTTAAAAAAGCATGTTTGCCATCTTTACCTTAACAGACGTTTTAATTTACATTACATTAATTTACATATCCTGACAGGATAATATAAAACTAATTTTAAAAATCGGTAATTAATTTTATCGAAATCCCGTAAATGCAATGATTTGCATTTTTTCTATTAAATTAATGATTACATTTTTAAAAAGTTTTTCAAAGAAACATCAAAATTATTAAAAAATTTGTAAGAAAAGATTGCTCCAGTGGCATATCTTCTCGGGGTCTGACACGCTATCATCATGCAGAGTGGAGGCAATCTTTTTAATTAATTTATCAAGTTTAATCTTCATATTAAATTGATTTAACAAATTTCATTATGAAATCTTCAACAAATTCTAAAAATCAAAGTTTTAGAGATTTTATAAAACGTTTTTGTAAAATTTTTTTCAAATCGTTTTTCTATCTTAAGAAATGTTTGGTCGTTAAATTTATTGCCTATATTAATTTTTACCTCAACAAAATACAAAAACATTAACGTATACATACAATATAATAATCATACAATATATATAAACACACACGCGTATGATTAATACATATAATTTTAGTAATTATAAAAAACCTCCCATATTTCAATTTCTATGCAGGCATCAAACGTTACAAATGGAGGAACGAAGAAATAAATTGATGAATAATTGAGGCAGTCGATAAATAAAATGTTCTTACGTGCGTTACTCCGTAGTTACTTCTGCCTTCAGAAGCGCTTGCGAAATCCCAAATGAACTGGTGTTTTTTATGCCAAATGTATTTATATACCTCTCTGTATGTATATATATATATATATATATTTGTATATGTATGTGTGTTGTATGTGTATGTGTGTTGTATGTGTGTGTGTGCCTATGTGTGTGTGTGTGTCTGTCTGTGTGCGTACATACATATGTGTGAAAATATAAAAAATATACTATTTTAAAAATTCATCTTAGCATATTTTTATATAATTTGAATCTTTGAAAAAGGTATTAAAAACTGCAACTGTAAAGCATTCTTGAAAGGTTTTTTTTGACCTGCGAAAATTTATATATTATTTTAAAAGGCCTATATTTTTTCACAAATTTTTGCATTATTGCTGTTTAATCTTGTGATAAATTATTCAGTTTGATTTCATGTAAACCTAATTGGAGTACGGCTCACTGCATTTTCAAGTTCTATTTAGCGTTACAAAATTTATTTGAAATTTATCTCATGAACATTTTATATCTTGTTTATACCTAATTAGAAAATTTTTATAAAAGTCACCATTTTAGGTTTTTGTTTTCACTAAAAATTGTGTTTGTAAATTTCAAATATCTACAATTTCTAAGACTTCTGATGTTTTTCGTGATGGCCATTTACATTCCTTATGCCTTTGAAATTTTACGAATCACCTTATAAAGTATTCATTTAATTAAACTGAATGAATGAAATGTTGTGGGGATGGTTCAAAAAATTATTAATTAGAGGCGATTAAGCGAAATATATTTGGAAGGTATAATTATTATGAAAAACGTATTTTAATCAAGAACATGAATTTGTTAAATGTACCAAAATGTTTGCGTTACAATGGTATGATTACTATTATATCGTAACCAATTTGATTGGGCAAACATTAACCACATAAAACTGGTGAACACGTAATGTAGTTGTGTTCGTGAAAAAAATGATATCGTAAAATGAGATGAAAAGTGGCCGAATGTTTGTTGGGCTCTCTGGGACGAAGTCCCTATAGCACGTTGTTGTTTCTGTTGATCTTGTTGCTGCTGCTGTTGTTGCTGCTGTTGATGATGTTGTTGTTGTTGCTTGAATGTACGTTGCAAGTTGAGTTTTGTGTTTGGGTCTTCTCTGTACGATTCAATTGTTTATCTGAATGCTGTGTGTTGCCGATGTATTGCAGTAATTTTTTTTGCCTATGTGATATTTTTGTTGTTGTTTTTGTAGTGTTTCTATTGTTACTAAATGATTTTATCAACAATATTTTTTGCGTTGTAAACAAATTGCAATCACAACATGCCTACATACATAAAAAAAAACTTCAAACTGCATGTGCTTCAATTTTTTATTTCGTTGGTCACTTGTGTTCGTAATCAATTTGTTCAGTGAATTTGAAAATATCGGAAAACATGTGTGCCGTGTGGTGCATTTCAAATAACAAAATAAAGAAATTTTGTTTTGCGTCCAATGTTATACAGAGCTGTAGGTATGAAACTTCTGGAAAAATTTGAGTTGGCTTTCCTTTCTCTATGCATTTCTGAACATAAAACCATACCTTTGTTTAAAAATACCCGTTGACTAACTCTATTTAAAAAGTTGAAATCAAAATTTCTATTCACTCATGCAGTAAGTAGGCAACATATATAAATATATATCTGTAATTTATGTATCCACAAATACATACATACATGCATACATACATACATACATGCATGCATACATGCATACATGCATACATGCATACATGCATACATACATACATACAGACACACACACACACACACAAATACATACATACATACATGCATGCATACATACATACACTCACACACTCTTACGCACATGTTCATATTTCCGTGTATATACACACGTACAAACATACATACAAACTCCTTGCCCCACTACACCCATGTGTGCAGTATTTTGTAATGTGTGTGTGTTTATATGCAGAGAATGCATCGAATAAATACTTGCGAATGTTTCAAGGTTTGCCAGCATAAGTCATCCCATTTTTGTGTTATATGACAGCATTAGTTACCAAACAAAAAATTCCTCTCTTTAATATACAAATAGCAATTGAAAATTTTTTAAATGGACAATGGTATTGAATACAGTGCACTATGATACTGCCTAATAAATCATAGCAACATTTAAAAACCATGTCCTATTTTATTTTAGTATTGCCCGGCTCAACGACAAAAATCTTTCTGACCTGTCTTGAATTGGAGTTGCCACAGATAAAACCTGCCAATTAGTTTTTTGCTTTGTTTACCCGACATCAAATTCTTTTAACATTTTTCAACTGTTTGTTGCTTGTTTTTTTTTTATAGAAATTTGGTTTTTCTTAAATAAGGATTTATTTTCAAAAAGTATACAAAAATTATTATTAGAATATTTGAACTTTTCATGGATAGCCATAAAAAACTTGAACAGTTGTTAATTCGAAGCAAGTTACCAAACATCATCAGCAAGTAGGAAATCTCACTTGCAAACCAAATTACCTCAGTTGTTTCTGTATTCAAATTTAGCGTAAACCTTACTGAACATTCAGAAAACTTTATGATAATAATTATTAATTATATATAATCATTAAAACAGCGCAAATCTTCAACAATTCTTTCTCGGTTTTCGTTTTTTATATAAAGAGTTTAAAAAACTACAAACTCCATTCCCTCAACAGACATGATCTGGGTCACCAACATGTTCTCGAGCTTGTTATCAGGTTAGTTCTCGCGTAAAAACGTTCCACAACTTTGATTTTATTTGTTTTAATCAAGCAACAACTTAAAAAAGTGTCCTGCTTCCTAAATAACAATAGAATTAAGTTTTTATATCTGATTAAATTTATAATTAAGAACATTGTTGAATAAAAAATGCAGTGGGAGAAGAGTGTGACATATTACGCTGGCAGCAGCAGTAATGGTCCTCGGTACATTCATGTGTGAAGATACGCACTGCTTTACAAAAAGAGTTGGCATTCGTACGTACATACGTGTCTGCTGTACGTGTCTGCTTGTACGTGTCTGTTTGTACGTGTCAGAAAATAATCAACACACCTCTACACTACATGTATACGCAAATAGACAAATGCACACATGCGTTCAAGCAAATTCACAAACATAATAATAAGAACATTTACCAAAAGTGTACAAACAGATAAGTAAAAAACAGACAGAGATATTTCATCCCACAAGACACCCACACAAATATAAATTTACAAATGAAGCGAACATTCCAGCGTTTAGTCTTCCAATGTTTGTTTAGGAATAAGAGAAACTGATTAAACAAAAACACAAAACTGGATTTAGCACGATTTCAAAACATCCAGCTTCTAATCATGTTTAGGTCAACGTTTATATGAATATTTTCTTCTAAATTCAAAATTTTCTCTTAACACAATGTGTATGTGTGTGTTTATATGTTTTAAATGCCTTGGTCAAATCATATACGATTGGTGCGTGTTCTTTGCAACTCGCTACCATGATCTTGAATTATTTCGACCCCAACCTCAACATAATTCAACCCTACCATAATTTGACCCGGCATATCTTGTCTTGATTCTGCAAACAATTTCGACACTTGTCCTAATGTGATCAAAACAACAAAAAACAAATATTCCTTGTTTAAATGTTAGCATGTGTGTGATTTCAAACATTAATTAAACCAAAATTTGTTTATTATAACTATTATATTTTTAATTATTTTAATAAAAAAAATGTTAAAATTTTTAATCATGTTTTATAGCGTTGAAAAAACAAATTAGTTTCTGCCAAGCTATATATTTATATTTAATGATTTAACATAATTTTTATCTGTAACATTTATTTAATATTATCATTCAAAAATTTCAATAAAAAATGTTTAACCAAATAATTACCAATATGAAATGTTTCGTTTGTGATTGAACGCCAAACAAAACATTAAAAAACCTCAATTGTAACAGAAAAATAACATTTGAAACATTTTTACCTTTACTTTTTATGGTTATGAAAAATTTTTGTGTCAACAAAATTTTAAGCGTTGAATCTAACTAATTTAGGTTTCATATACTTTATCATGTAAATAATACATGTTAGATAGTTCTCAGGTTATAAAATTGGCCAAATCTTTTGTTGTTAAGATGAAATTACAGTTAATTTAAAATTTATAATATATTTCGATTGTGTAGTTTTTGAAAGCCGGGTAGACCAAAAAAGGATATGTGTTTTGGAAATATGCAAAGTGAATTATGGAGATAATGTGATGATAAAGATTTGATAATGAAGATGTTGATGATGTGATGATTTGATGATGATGGTGATGTGATAATGATGATGATGAAGGAGGATGATGACGTTGATAATACTTGTAATGCTTCTAAAAGTTCAAATTTTGATGAAGTATTTTCTCTTTAGAATATTTCTTTTCACATAATCATTCATAATTTTGAAAACAACAAATTTTTAATTCTGAAAAATGCAAAATTGAACAATGTATAATCTAAATTCTTTAAAATAAAAAAGAAAACTGAAGAAAATTATAAAAATTTTTCCAATGTTTTTTATTTCACCATTCTAATCATTCATTATCATAAAACAGTTAAAAACTTAAAACACAACCTCAATTATAGACAACTATCCTTCCTCCAAACAAATGACTTCTGCTGGCTCAACCTTGATCAACAGCAGCCACAACACGAACGCGAACCACAACAAGATCAGCCTTCGGATTGAAATTCTACAGCTATCTAATTTTGTTAGATTTCTGATTTGTAAAATTTTTTTTTGCAAAACCTAATAAAAATATTAACTTAATTCATTTTAAAACTTCAAAAAATATAGGACAACCCAAATTAAAATTTGCAAAGTTCATCGCATACCATTTAAGTTAATGTAAATATTAATGAACGATTATAACAGTAGTTGTATGTTTAAGATTTTTATTTATTTATGTGCCAATAAATGTTTCATATTTTAATTTTTAAATGATAACAACAAATCACATATAAGGAATTTGTTGCTTAGCTTCAAATTTTTTAGAGTTGATGAACATAAAAAATAATATAAGTATTTAAATCAAACGTTATTTCACTGATAAATCTTGTTAATAATCAATAAGATATATAGAAATTATTTCACAGATAAATTATTGCAGCAATTCAAATGACAAAACATTTATTTCTTTTAAACTTGTTTTATGTTCATATATATACCAGAGAGGTCTTCAGGTTTTTGAATTTTTTTATTTTTGTTTCAATTGGCTTGTTTATACCTTCAAGATGAATTTTTGAATCTCCATTCCCTCTTTCGTCCGTTTGCAAAAATTTTATATTTTTATTTAGAAAAGTTGATGGGCACTTGAATCTTTATTTTGTGGTTTTGTTTTGTTTTTTCACAGTTTTTTTCTGCATTAAAAATAAAATAAAAATTTGTTTAGGATGAAAATCAAGAAGAACTGACAGCAAACATCAAAATAACCATCGTTAGTTGACTCTTGAATGTAAAAAATTCTTTCAAAAAATCGTGAATTGTTGAAATGAAAATGTAAGTTTAAAAAATGTTACAAAATTGTGGAAACACATAAACTTTCATTTTCAACAGATGTGGCATAAACGTTCTAATTTGTCATCATCATCTTTATCGTCGTCATCATCTTCGTCGTCATCATCATCATCTTCATCTTCTTCCTCCTCTTCCTCATCATCACTCCTTAATGAAGTTACAACGCCGACGTTCTCTTTTAACGAAGTTCCATTTTATATATCGTCATCATCATCACCACCACCATCATCATCGTTATCATCATCATCATCGTTATCATCATCATCATCATCGTTACTATCCTCATCATCATCGTCGTCATCATTGCCCTCTCCCACACCATCATCACCTCCTCGTAGAACTCCGTCTAAATTATCAGATCCCTCTACTCCATCTATGTCGTCACCATCGTCATCGTCATCATCGTCGTTATCGTCGTCATCATCGTCAACATCATCAACATCATCAACATCACATTCATTAAACAAACCACAAACAATCGAAGAAGTGGATTACAACACTAGAACGCCATCTTCCTCTTCATCACCATCGTCGTCGTCGTCTTCGTCAAAAATAGGAATGATGTTTCTGAATGAGTGGATCCCTGATGTACAGCTTTTTAAAACGTACCTACTCTTCATACCTTTCAACACATCTTGCATTCATTTGTTTCATTTGCACCACTCAATCTAGTGTTGCTAAAAAAGATTTATCAAACATAATTTTTGAAATAAAATCTGACCACCTCTAAAAATATCAAGTTACAATTTCTATATAGAGAGATTTTTTCACTCATCCGATTAATGAACATTTTATAAATTTGATAACCGCCATGAACTTTCAACTTTGAAACCACCAGGTTTGACTCCATTGCGGACGATCCATCCTTACATGCATCCTTGCACTCCTTCATCCAAGCAGACAGTACGCACATTCTCACTCTGGATGACAACGTGCGTCAAGTTACACACACACAACAACTGCACATGCAATGCCACGGCGATGGTCTGTTATTTCCTTACGATGTCTACATCTGTATCTTCGCCTTCCAATCACGTGATTCTAAATTTGACCTTGAAAAAAGTAATTTAAAGGTCAAATCAAATTATCTTTTAAAGTCGAGCAGATTTGTGGTTGGACGTGTGCACGAGAGGTTGGTCTCTGTGTGGATGTTTAGGTGTCTCTGTGTGGATGTTTAGGTGTCTCTGCATGGCTCTGCTTTTGTCTGTGTTCGTCTGTTTGCTTTTGCGTCTATCTGCCTATGTTTGTGTCTATCAGTATGAGCTTATTTTTATGTGTTGGTGGTGTGTGTGTGTGTGTGTGTGTGTGTGTGTGTGGTGTGTTTGCTGTTGTTGATGTGTTTGCTAATATTTGTGACCACTTCTGCGTGTCTTCTCGTCTGCCTTCTTATCTTCTTCTATCCGCATTTGCGTTTTATCAGTTCCCAGTTAGGATTACGAGTTTGCTCTAGTTAATGATTTTTTTAATGATTTTAAATGTTTTTCTTGACAGAATATTTGCAAATGATTAATTTTTACTGTTAAAAGTTTAAATATTTTAAACTTTCAGAAAAATTTATTAAAAATTTAAAATACAAAACTAATTAACCGTTTAATTAAATAAAGCAATTTTAAAAAACTTAAAAAGATAAAAAGAACTTAATACATGTAGATAATTTGCTGTTTGCGCATATTTCGAAAGTGTCAGAGGGTTTACTTAATTTGGTTTTTTCAAAAAATTTTTTAACTTTTTGCTCCTGCTGGACGAGTTGGATTTTGTTTCTTATACAATTTTGATTCAGCTATTTTTTTAATGAAATTTGTACTCTCTGTTAGTTAAGAATTTTTATGGTAATGTATGAGTTTTAAAGAAATATACAAATGACAGAAAGTTATTTTACTAACTTTCTACTTTACTTTCCACTAACTTTACTAACCCTAACCCTAACCCAAAAAATAAGTTTTAGGTGTCCCAACATGTTAAACTTCGGGTCTCCTGCTTCTGTTTCTGACAAAAAAAAACCTCTTTGAATTGAATAGTATAATGATAAAAACAAATAATTCTTTGAACTTTAATACATCTTTTTACATTCAAGGTTATCAACATTTAGCTTATTTTTAGACGTACAGAAAACACTGCTTCCAAAAATTGTTAATTTTTGTGTGTTTTGTGTTCTTTCAAGCTCATCTGTTCACTTTTTTATTCAACCGAACATTTTAGAGCCATTATTGAATGAGTGGAGGTTGATGTACTGCTCGGTGACTCAACTTTAAAAAATTTTTTTTAAATAAAAAACGTGGGATGCATAACGTTTCAAGTAAATATCTGCTTCCCTCCATTCAATGAGATAACTTCTCTCGAAGAGCTTCAAAGATCGTTTGGACAGACGTCCTTTGAATTAAGATTTGATTGATTGATCGAGTAAATACATTCCACTAATGAATGAATAAGCATTTTACTTCAAAGACTAAATGGTTGTTGAAACTAGCAACTTGCAACATTTCAAACGTTGTTCAACTTGTGATATCTCGGTGAATGAAATGTGCACTCAATCAACAGTAGACACCTCACATACAACTGAGCGTAAACTTTTTTATATTTTTCATAAAAATTTATGATGTAAAATTTTGACACCGGGAACTCGTGCAAAATCATTGAGACATCTTTCAAATTAAATGGAAAGTCGCAAACAGGGTGGCTTCTCTGAAATTTTTGATATTATTCTGTAGAAAAAATTAAAAACAAATTAAATTTATAAAAAATATGAAAACTTAAAAAATCTTGTAGGAAATGATGTTTCATAAAAATTGAAAAATTCTGAACCTACTAATATAACCGAATAAACAGGGAAAGTGGGTGTCGGGATGAAGGATCTTGAAACATGGATTAAACAAAAATTTAAAACTGAAACACACATAGGTCAAAATATCATCCACTCAGTATAACTTTTAACAGGAAATTAGATTTATGTGAGTCATCGACATGTAATAAATCTCCCGCCGATGTTTTGATTGAATGTAAAAAATTTTTAATTGAACATTTCTTGCGTCTAATGAAATATATCTGCAAATAATTTTTTTCCTTCGGTTTTTATTGTAACGGAGAAACATAAATTTTGTATAAGTTTATAAGAGATAAATCAAAGGTGATGTCATTTTCCATATTGTCGAATAAATGGAATGGAATAAAATTGATGAAGCCCCATCAATAATTCTCCTTAATAAACATACGATGAGCTTGTGCATCTTTGCCGAATTCAAGCGTACGACCTGACTGAAGTACTTGGCTCATCGTTTATTTTAATTTTGGTTTCATTTAATTTAAATTTTAAATTAATTTTTATTAAACACATTCAAAAGGACTTTAAAACATTTTTTTCAATGCATTAATTATACATCAATATTTGGTCTGATTCAAAACATCACATCGCTATAACTTACTTTCGAGGTTTCCTGGGAGCGTGCATTAGTTCAATGATAATAATATTTTTTTCCTCCACGCATAGCCTCGTTTCAACTATCAAACAGATATAAAAGTATTTTCCAGGTAGAACATTTCATTCCACGTGTGTACAGTACTTTAAAATTTGTAGAAATAAAAATAGAGAACTAGTAAAGTTTTTATAACATTTCTCAACGACGGCATGCAATGAAAAATTTTTGAGACGCAGACATCGCCTGATAAGAACTTGCAGGAAGCACATCTTGAGGTCAGACGTTCAGCAATGAATGTAATAAAATCTAATAAAAAAGCTTGAAATTGGTTATTCAAACCGCTCTAAAATATTATGCTATTGGGTTTGAATCGATTTTATCAATCTCTGCACGGTTTTGTGTTCGTTCTAGGTTTATCGGTCAATTTCTTTTTCTTATTTATTTAATAACCATCAACCATTTCTTTCAGATTACATTGATGGCATTGGAAAGTTAACGCGAACTTGAAAACATTTGGTAGTTGTTTATAGAGTATGAACGTAGTCTAATTAATTTTAATTTTAAAAGCAGATTCACCATGCTATGGTAGAGGTTTTGTAGTGATTCAAAAAATGCAATTTGTAATAATTTTCTATTAATAAAGTTTCATTTGTCAAATCGCTGGTCAATAAACATAGGTTTCAGTATCATATTATCAAAGTGTGTGCGTGTGTATAAATATTTCTGTCAATCTAACTGCATTTCTATCTGGCGAGTTACATTTGTGAGCAGTTTAGTTCAGTTGCTCATTTGAATGTTTGTGATCCGTTCAGCAGCAAGTGACAATTTACAACAGATCATTCCTTGCGGAATTTTTTTGTATTTCGAATGTGTTTCCATCTTAACTAAATCTGAATGTGTTTTCCATCTTAACTTAAAGTTACGGCGGTCTGTTGTACAATGCAGCAAAGAACGACAATTTGTGTTTTGCATTTTTTGCCTGTGCAATTGTTCATGAAGTTATCGCGATGCATACTTAGGTGGGAACGGTGTGGAAACGTTAAACTAATCAGAACTAATTCCACGTGATCCTTAATAGTTGGATGCTGAATAAGGCGACCTACCTTCATTCAAAGGTATGTGTCGTGTCTGTTGCCTTGATTCTTACTTGTGTGGTCACCAATGCACCATCTCGTGTGTTGAATGTTTTTAATATAGAACAAGATAAATAATAAAAGGTGAATATATAACAGTATTTTATTGAAAACATCAAATTCAATCTCGACCTACTATTTATTAGTTGATGTTTAAATTTCAATAATGATGAATTTAAATGCTATTGCTATGCTACTACTTGTTTGTGATATATGAAATGTTATCAACTCCGATGAAGTTGATATTACTTGAAGTTACTTGTATGCCCTAGTGTCAGCTTGTATTGAATCCAGACCAACGTACTCTCTTCATAAACATTATTTATTAGGCAGAAATGCAGCTATAAAAATTTGTCTTTGTCTGTTTGTTTGTTTGTTTAAAATGATCTATAACCAAAATGTTATGTTCAAAATAAATAATTTAAACATATTAAAAAAATAATTAAATAAATAAAATGAATTACAAAATCATTGGCACAATTGACAGATTGCACGCACTATTTAAATCGCATCAATCATTCTTTTTCATGCTCAAACTCGCTTGATCTTGCAAATGTTTTTAAGGCACTCACAAATGTGCTTATGTGCATTTGCAGGTATGTCTGCCTCATCTTCATCACCGCATGTAAATTCACTTACACACCCACGCACACACACGCACACACATATTTACACACATGCACATACATACATACTTGACTGTTTGGTGTCATTCATCACGATTTGGTTTTAACATACATACACACACATATTAACACACATGCACATTGCACATACATACATACAAATGGTTTCATCTACCTTCAATGGCATTCATGTCTCAATGTAAACATTCAGCGTCAATAATTTGTACTTTTCAGACGTCCTGTATCTCCTTGTTCATCATCTGCTTCATTGCTCCATTATTTCATATTCCATTGTCAGCTATTTGTTTTTTGTGAAGATGTGAACGTGCGTGCTTGTGTGAGTGCGTGTAGACTGATGTATGTTTGTGTAGGTCTGTGTATGTTTGTGTAGGTCTGCGTATGTTTGTGTAGGTCTGCGTATGTTTGTGTAGGTCTGTGTATGTTTGTGTAGGTCTGTGTATGTTTGTGTAGGTCTGTGTATGTTTGTGTAGGTCTGTGTATGTTTGTGTAGGTCTGTGTATGTTTGTGTAGGTCTGTGTATGTTTGTGTAGGTCTGTGTATGTTTGTGTAGGTCTGTGTATGTTTTTGTAGGTCTGTGTATGTTTGTGTAGGTCTGTGTATGTTCGTGTAGGTTTGTGTATGTTTGTGTAGGTTTGTGTGAGTCTGTCTATATTTGTGTATGTGTGTGTATGTTTGTTAGCATTAATATTTGTTTGTTTTAGTGTATGTGAATGTGCGTCCGTGTGTGGAGGCGTGTGGAGGGCATGAAGGAATAATGTATTGAAATAAGGTCCACATGGAAATAATGTAGAATTATTATTCCTTCCCTGGCGAACAGGTCTGTGGATGGGATAAGTGGTGGCTCTTTCATCTAGGTTGATTCGTTTATCTGCTGCGTCGGCTCACTTTTCAATGTGTTCATAACGTTTTTCATACAAATTTTTCCTTTTCATGTTTGTTTTCCATTTTTATTTTTATATTCAATAACTTATGAGCGTTTGATATATACAGTGGACTGCATGGTAATATATTTCACGACTTATTTCAACCTGTGGTTTATTTAAAAAACATCGTATACATTTGTTTGATTTGTTAATTAGAAACTTGAGACATTATAAAATGTTGAACTGTGGTGCCCATATAATATTTTAATTTGATGAAAATCGTAGAAAACTAACCTAAATAAAATGATACGTACCTTATGTAGAATATTTTGAAATTTTTGCAGTTGATCATAAAAATTAATCAAAATGGAAAGACGACCTAAACAGTACAGCCAGCCTTTCAGCCAGCATACGACCACTGAATGCAAACTCCCTTAGTTTAGCAAGCAGTTATCAGGGTCGCCAATATGTGAAATTGCTATAAATCTGACCGAAAAAGGCAGAACCAATTTTTGTGGACCATAAAAAGTTTGTAAAAAATAAACATTGGATGAAATAGACATTCAGGTCCGAATGAAATATGATAGCCAGTCCGCAAACGCCACGCAGTCACAGATTGCCATGCAGCAGTCGGAGATTTGTTCATCCTTCATTTATTTCTTTCTTTCATTCAACGGTCAAATTGATGTTAGTTAGTTTGGTTGGTCAGTAAGTTGTAATCAATCAACAAAATCAACAATGTAATAATCATTGTTAAGCCTGCTACGGTTCGAACAACTCAACTTTTTCATTACTTGTTTATGTCTGTTGGAGAAACATCGGGTCTCAAAATCATACGAGTTGGATCATGTGGAATTTTTCTTCAACAACACAACATTCCAAAATGTAACTAAACCTCGTTCTGCTTGAACCTACTTGTTTGTTGTTTGTTCAAGAGGTTTGAATTCAAATAAATAGCATCAAAAACTTCAAGCCATTCCATCCTACTAAATAACTGGCCAAATTTAAATTATCTCAAAAAAATGTTGCCAAAGCAAGTTAAGCAAATTTTTATCTCTGCACAAAATTTTTCATTTTGTTGAAAGATATTTATTTCTAGACCAAATATTAAAAAACTACTAACAGTATATTTATCGAAGAAATGAATGATTCCTGTGACTGGCCATTCATCAAAAGATTGGAAATGTACGATGCAAGAAGAAAGCCTAGCCTGGCTGGCAAGAGAGGCGTATCGCTCTATGTGGATATTTTTTGAACTTCGTTGCACTTTTTTCTCCCAACACTGTTAGATGTGTTTTTTGGAACGCACGTTTGCAACCGCTCAAGTGATTCTTTCTTCTGGGTAAGATTTTGCTTCGGAGTGAGAAACTGGAAAAACAGTATAAACCTTTTTGATGTGAGTGTAAAAAATGTTTTCCGAATCCTTCGCAAGTTTTTTTTTACTTTTGTGTGCGCGTGTGTGTTTACGTTCACAAATTTACAAATGTATTACAAGAATTCATCTGTTGTGTACGTGTGAGAATGTGCGCGTGACATTCATACATTTTGCAGGGTTTTGTTTTGTCGTGATGTTTCTAGCAATAATTTATGCAAAACATAAACATGTAAGAACGAGTTCGTTTTGTTTGTTAGCCTGTTAGTGTTTGTAACGTGTTGAAATGCCACTGAATTGTGAGGTAAAGTTGTTGTTGTAGTTGTAGTAGTAGTTGTTTTAGTTGTTGTTGTTGTTGTCGTACTGAAGTTTCACTGTTTTGCATTGTTTTATTTTGTTGTAAAAAAATGTTTCGCTTAGATGTGTTATATGTTGCTGAAATATTTTTGATATTCCACTTTTGGGGTGTTGCTAGCATGTTCGCATGGCTGTTGTTGAAATTTTTCTAATCTTTGGTTCAACTGAACAAGTGGTTGCTCATATAGTTGTGTAATTTTTATAAAACTGATTCGTTGCTTCAATCTTTGTGTCAGTGAAGCATCATGATTCTGATTAACAGTTATATATATTTTTTTAATATTTTGAATAAAATTTGTATAACAGATTTCCTGAAACAACTACCAGCCAATTGTACCTCAACTAACGTTTGGGATATTTTATGATTTTTCATTTTATTTTGTGCCATGAAACTACGAAACCCGGTTTTTAAATATTCAAATATCCTAAAATCATGCAGGCCTCAACAAAAAGTTGAAGCAATGAGACGTTGTAACAAGAACTGTCCGCTAAAGCAATATTGATATTGTCTGAGTGATATTGCAGTCAACTTAAACGTATTCTTCAAATCTTGTACAATTCGTAAAAAATTTGCATATATTTAAAACTTTTCAACGCTTGAAAAAATCTTCATTAAAAAGTTTAGTGCATCGTAAAAGAACTGAGGGCTAAATTTAAAATAAAAAAATTTTGCTAACTTACAGTTGAACGCGTATCTACCAGCATAAAGAGCAAAGGACCAAATGTTTAATGAAATTCAATCTCTTCACGCTTTTCTGAGAAATGCCTACAAAGCAGCCTTTATGTTGAGACGTTAATGATTGAGTGCCTTTTTTATATCATGCGCTACTCTTCTAAGCCTTTCTATTTCAACTTTTCAACTTTGCCTACTTATATCAAGTTTATAAGTTTATAAAATCAACCGTAAATGATAAAATTTTTAATGTATATTCATTGCGTGCCGATTCTTTGCGGCTTGTTTTTTCTTTGTGGTTTGTGTAACCTCATACAATAAGTGATTCAAAATTGTATTAGAACAATCAACCAAACCCTGAAGTAGAATTATCATAAATATGTAAACATGGAAAGTGTGTGAAGTACTGAAAAAAAGATTAGCAGTCAACAGACTTCCCTATTATCGACATTTGTCCCCTGTTGTAAGTTATGTGGGCGATAATATAACTATATAAATAAATAAAGCATAGAACATCCAATCTAAAAGAAACTTTGTATAATCGGAAAAACTGGCTTGCTGATGTTTGATTGTTTAAAGTAACAAATCAAAGGTTTCTATTCAAATTTCAAATGGAATGATTGCTTCGTTTTTTTTTATGGAGCGTGTATGCATCTGATTACATGTCTGCGTAGTAGTTTTATCATGTTTCATGCATCCTTTATGCAAATATGAAGAGCGAGTCAATATTTAGTCTATAAATATTTTATCTTAATACAGATGTCTGATCATTTGCTGTTTTATTTTGTAGACTTTTCTGAAAGTAATGACATCAAAGACATGTATTGGCTTGTTAAGCTGCATTTAATTTAGGAGACCCACAACGCTCGTAACATAACATTTAAAGTTAGTGTTTTTAAACTTTGTGTAAAAATGATATTGGATAAAAATGAAATGTTAAAAAATATTTTTAGAAACCTATTTTCTAAATCGAAAATATGCGTCATAAAACCCACAAAACAAAAGTAAAGAAGGAGCGGAGTGTGATTTTAAAATGTTTGCAACGACGTCTCAGATTATAAGTCACGTTTGCGAATTTGTTTTTGTGAAATTGTAAAATCAGGATTAACTGCCAACAGAAATGAAACAAAAACGAAAAAAAATTCATTCTTCTAGAAAGCATTTCGAATAATTTTGCGTTCCATCTCACTTTCATTTTCTCTGCAGTCATTCTACGCAGATGAGCTGAAAATTACCTCAGCTTGTATCAAACATTCGACTCGATAAAAAAAAAAAAACTGATTCAAATACAAATTTTAAAAATGTTATTAGATTTAATTTTAAAATAACTTAAATTTTGCATTTTTGTACAAATTCCGATAGAAAAGCGCGCTCAGTAAAGACTACCACCACATATCCGCATGTAAATGAGTTGTTATTCATTGATTCAATCAGGTTGGTCTCAATTTTGATTTTTGTATAATTCACTTTATTGCGATATATATCTTTTCTAAATATCTGCACAACTTTTTTCAGATACTTTACAAATATAGTTTATATTGTTGGGTATGTCTTTGTTTACTTTTTACTTGTTTGTTCCTTTGTCTGTCTGTCTTTTGTCTCTTTTTATTTCTTTGTTCGTTTTTAATACTTTGTGGTTTGTTTAAAAGAAGAATCACACACATTTTAATTTTTCAACTTTTCGCAAATGTTCATTTTTGTTGATAATTGACATTATCCTAACTAATTACTGTTAATTTGCGCCATATTTTTTCATTATTATTAAAACGTTTCCTTCATTTATTTTCATCCTCTACCTACCCTGCTAAAAAAAGAAATAATTTTTTTAAACTGAAAAAATTTCATTTTGCTTCTGGAGTTTAGATTTATTAGAAGGCTGTTTTTATCCCAGCAGATATCGCAATCAGTTATTTTGATCACCCTTCTTGATCAACACTGATGGATTGGCTACTTTTGAATCAATAACAGATCGACATAGTTATAATAAATAAAACTGTACAATGTACAAGTCCACCACAAATCAATTTTTCGTCCGTAAAAAATGAACGCTACAAAAATGAATATCTTATTTTTTAACTATCTTGTGTAAAATTTTTATAAAAAATTAAAATATTTTCATAAAAATTGAGACAGACCACGACTTAATCCATTTGCGATTTTATTTACATCCTTCTATATCATAATCTATCAATTTGTTGGCAACAGTTTTCGGTACAATTTATGAGTCAGAACAAAGCAATTTTCTCTAGAAAATTAACCAAAAAAAGGTGGCCAATTATGTAGAAAAGAAATATGCATGAGACGTCTAACCAAAATTATTAATTCTTTCAACACTTTATCAACTTATTTTTTCTGTTATTTTCATTATCTTAGATTAAGTCATTTGTCGGCATAATTAAGTTATAAAAACTGCTCTCAGAATCAGATAAAAATTTA